TTTTTTGTAGACATTGATAAGTTGTTCCTAAAATTCATATGGAAATGCAAGGGACCCAGAATAGCCAAAACAATCTTGAGAAAAAGAAAACAAAGTTGTAGGACTCACACTTGCCAATATCAAAATTACTACACAGCTGTGATATTCAGGACAATGTGATATCAGCACAAGGACAGATAGGTAGATCAATGAAACAGAACTGAGAGTTCAGAAATAAGCTCTTTGGTTTATAGTCATTTAATTTTTGACAGAAGCAGCAAGACAATTCAAAGAAGAAAAAATAGTCTTTTAAACAAATTGTGTTGGAAAAACTGGATAGCCACAGAAAAACAATGAAGTTGGACCTTTGCCTCACACCCTACACATAGATTAACTCAAAATGGATCAAGTACCTAAAGGTAAGAGCTAAAATGCAAGACTCTTTGAAGAAAATATCGGAGTAAACCTTCATGACTTTAGATTTGGCAAAGCATTCTTAAATATGATACCAAAAGCATAAGCAACAAAAGAAAAATAGATAAGTTGATGTTATCAAATTTTCAAACTTTTATGTTTCGAAGGATGCTATTAAGAAAGTGAAAAGACAGCCCACAGAATGAGAGAAAATACTTGCAAGTCATATATCTGATAAGGGACTTCCATCCAGAATTTATAAAGAACTCTTACAACTCAGTAATAAAAGGCAAACTGCTCAGTTAAAAAATGGGCAAGGATCTCAATAGACCTTTCTCCAAGGAGGATATACAAATGGCCAACAAGTACATGAAAAGATGCTTGATACATTAGTCATTTGGGAAATGCAAATCAACACAGTAAGCTACCACTGCATACCCACTAGGATCGCTAGAATCAAAAAGTCAGATGATAACAAGTGTTGACAAGGATGTGAACAAATCAAAACCCTCATATGCTGCTGGTGGAAATGTAAAAATGGTGCAGCTGCTTCGTAAAACAGCCTGGTAGTTCCTGACTATTAAACAGAGAGTTACAATAGGAGCCAGCAATTCCACTCCCAGGCATACACCCAGGAGAAATGAAAACATATGTCCGCAAACAAACTTGTACATGCACGATTATAGCAGCATCATCCATAATTATCCAAAGGTGTATACCCAAATATCCATTAATGAATGAATGGATAAAATGTATATCTATGTAATTTGCCCATAAAAAAGAAATGAACTATTGACACATGCTACAACATGGATGAACCTTGGAAACATTATACTAAGTGAAAGAAACCAGTCACAAAAGGTCAAATATCGTACGATTCCTTTTATATAAAATTTCCAGAACAGGAAAATCTGTAAAAAACAGAAAGTAGATTATTAGTTGCCTAGGAGCAGAGGTGGGGGTGGGGATGCAGTAATTAGAGTGACAGCGATAAGACACGGGACTCCTTTTTGGGGTAATGAAAATGTTCTAAAGTTGTGCTGATGATTGCACGTATCGGTGAAAATGCTAAAAAGCTTTGAATTGCACACTTTAAATGGGTGAGTTTCATTGTATATGTATTATATTTCAATAAAGCTATTATAGAAATTTAAAAATTCAAAATGGATCATGGACCTAAATATAAGGGCTAACACTCTAAAACTCTTAGAAGAAAACATATGAGTAAATCTTCATAATCTTGGGCTCGGCAAAGCCTCTTAGCTATGACACCAGGAGTACAAGCAGCAAAAGAAAATTAGCGAAATTGGACTTCATCAAAGTTAAAAATTTCTGGGCTTCAAAGGACACCATCAAGCAAGTGAAAAGGCAACCTACAGAATGGAGAAAATATCTGTAAATCATACGAGGTCTGTCTGGAAAGTAGCCAGCCACTGTTGTTATAATGAGAATGGTTTGCGCAACATCAGTGCACCCTGGCAGCCAAGGCGGGTGGACTGGGACGCGCACGCGTGAACAATGATGCCTTCGCTGTGCTGGTCGGTGGCGCGTGGACGCCACTGAGTGAGCGTGTGCACTGTGTGGATGTCGCTTTCAAAATGACTGAGCCAGTAGAGCAACGAGTCTGCATCAAATTTTGCATTAAGCTTGAACATTCCGCAGTGGAAACTATTTGGACGATTCAGAAGGCTGTCGGGGACGGCGCCACGAGTGCAATGCGAATAAAAGTGCGGCACAAACGCTTCAAAGATGGTGGAGAATCTGTTGAAAGTGACCCACGTTCTGGAAGACCTGCAACAAGCAGAACACCCGAGAATGCTGAACATGGATGGGTCAGGTTAAGAGACACTGGGAGGACCGTGTGGGGTCCCCAGGTGCCTACTTTGAAGGGGACTGAGGCGTCATTGTCCTATGTACAGTGTTCTTGTATCTCGTATCATCTTCAATAATGTCTCTGTTCTTCCCACTACATGGCTGGATACTTTTCCAGACAGAACTCATGTATCTGATAAGGGACTTGTATCCAGAATATATCCAGAACTCTGACAACTTAATTAAAAAATACTGTACAAATATCTCAATTTAAAAATTAGCAAAGGATAGTTCTCCGGAGAAAATTTATGAATGGCCAATAAGCACATGAAAAGATCTTCAACATTATCAGTCATCAGGAAAATGCAAATCAA